TCAAGAATAAACATCGTCAAAACCTTTATCCTATCCAAACTCCTTTTCCTTGCCACCATATTTCCTCCAAATAACAAAACAATAATCCATCTAAATAAACAATGTGTGAACCTGGTCTGGGGAACTACTAGAGATGTCACGAAAAGAGATTTGTTATTAGTAAAGAGTAAGGGGGGTTAGGGGCAAAAGAGCTTGGGGACAAATTAAAAATATCTTTTGTCAAGAACGTATTTTTAGCTTTTAGTAGGAATGCTGTTTGGTTAGGGGACTTTTAAATGTGGAAGAAAAGAAAAGGAAAGAAAAGGACTGGCCCAGATTATTATTTAATTTATGGAGATTTTATTAACCAATATCAACATGTGAACATAGATTGGGGAGGGCTAACAAACAAAATGATTTTTAAAACAATTAATGATTTTAAATACGGAGGTTTTATTGTTTAAAATATTCCTTACCTCTGGGCCTTCATTTACAGTTAGATTCTTATAAAGTGTATAAAACCTGTCAGAGAGCATTAGAGATGTTCGGTGGCTGATATCTGTGGGGAGACTTCTTGTCAGGGCTGTTGTGTCTTGGAGTTGCTACGTAAAGTCAAAGAAAGGTCCAATGACTGGATGCAACGATGATGAGACACAACAGCACCTTTTAATCGATTGTTTTAGAACTCGGGAAGTCTGGGACTCCTTGAAAGACTTTGGAATAAACTACAAACCATGTTGGAATTCAGTGATATACGGAATCATGATCGGACACAATAAACCACCAGACCAAACTGATTTACTCCAACTCATCATAAGCATTGTCTCTTTTAAACTCTGGAAATCAAGAACTGCCATGACCATTTACCAGACTTGTATCGACAGTAAGACAGTCACTAAACAAATACTCGCTGAATTCAGGAGGAGGAAAAACCTGGACACACAAACTTTCTCCTCCCTTGGAACATTTGGGATCTTTAAATCAGCACCTATACTAATGCACTTTATAAATGTTTTGCACTTTACAAAGATTTTATTGAAGTCTATAACTATAATAAAGTAGATTAAAAAGGAAAGCATCCGCTCATTGGACAGAAACATCGTATCTCTGTGAGACGGTACAGATCCCAGTTTAACATTGAGCAAGAGTTAACAGTAGCAATATCAAGTTTGAAGCCCAGATTTGAAAAGATGTGCAGTGAAAAAAGGTCTGACAGCAGCCACTAAATACACAAGCAGACTCTTCTCCTGCCAAATATTTGCACAATGTCTGTTCTCACAGTTTGTTCTAGGAGATTTACTGTGCATCTGGCAAACTGTATTGAAGTTGAATGTGTTCATATAAAACAGACCAATGCTGTGAAATAAGTTTGAAAGAATTGTTAATTGTGTTTTATAAAAGAAGCTCAAACTGATGTAGCTGACAGTTTCAAATATTTCACGGTTCAAGGCTTTTTTTTATTGTCTTCTGGATAGACAATATGTTCGGGGAAAGTAAATGTTATTCACTTCTCATCCCTTCTGATAAGCTAATATATAAATATTATTGTTGCAAATTTTGCACAAAAAAACAAATGTTAAAAAAGTCATATAGCTTGTTGAAAAGGAATAAGCTGATGAAGCTGACAATGTGTACAATTTGAAAAAGTTTTGAATGTTGCTGTGTACAGTGTAAAAATGCACATCTTCCAGAGGCGGTCAACCTGAAGAATGAGCGACAGGCTGTTCTGGGAAAACTCGAGTGCTGTGTATGCAAGCAACGTGTTCCTGTGCTTACGAGCAGATTGCGACGGTTACGCAGCCTTTCGCACATAAGTGTGAAAAAATTATATTTGGATATGTTAAATGTTTCTTGCATTTTTTTTTCCCATAGCCATGTTCAGAAATTGAAATGAACAGTTTTAGATGGAACAATGTGGCAATGCGAAGTGTTTTAAATGTTTTATACCTTAAAACAGACAAATAATATATATTTGAACTGTGATGATAATAAATGGAAAAACACTGCTGTGTTCAGGTTGGAAATAAAGAGTTTTGCATTTTATTACACAATGGGAGACTTTATTGTGTTCTATGGAAATTCAGACCGAGTGTCCCCTTAAAAACTACATCATGTCAAAAGATGATGCTTAGTTTTTATACTTATCAGGTCCCATTATGGCAAAGAAAAATTAAAAATGCATACCAAAAAAGAGCTTGGGTCTTAATTGTGTATAACCACTATTTTATTATTGTATTATTGTTGTCAGTATTTGTTTTGTCAGATTATATTTTTTGATTGTGATTAAAATGCAAAATACTTTGTAAATTATATATATGAAGTTAGTATAGGAATTATATACTATTGGAAGTAGTAGGAAGTTTCAAATGTATTACTGTATCAAAACATTAAATATCAATATTAATGTTATTATTATTAAATATCAGTCTATTATAAGTCAAAGATCAGCACACTCAAACTTTCTTAATGGCATTATAAATATAAGAATATTTTTTATAATTCAATATCACAACATGAATTCACATGTTAGTATATTATATAGTCAGGACTATAAGCTCTTAAAATGAAGTGAACATAATTTATACTATTGTCTCATAACATATCATTCCCTTTCAACCAAAGCCTGTTTTAAGATTAAGCAAGAATATATATAGTGGTATGCAAAACCTAGTGGAACATTCACAATGAATGCAGATTAGACAATATCCAAGTTAGACGTGATTTCAAATTATAATCAATTATTCAAACGCCGATATCCCACCAATGATTTGTAAGTTGGAAACTAGTCTAGTTAATACAAAACAGTTTCTAGTTTAGTTTCCCCTGTAAGGACTCACGAGTAAAGGAGTAGCAACTAATAGATCAGTGTAATGTAACGACAAGTTAGTTCTACACTGATTCTACAAAACCTCTCAGCCCGGGGCCTAACATTAGGTTAAGGCGGCCCTGGTTACAGAGCTCAGGAAGTCTGGGACGGATTGAAGGAGTTTGGACTGAACTATGATCCTGTCGGAATCATTGACAGAAACAATAATCTGATCACGGTGAACTATTACAACTTATAATAATCATCGTTTGTTTTAAACTGTGGAAAACAAGATCTGCTATGATCATATATCAGAATATTATAGACAGTAAGACTGTAACTAAACAAATAATCACTGAACTCTGGAGGAGGAAAACCCTGGACTAATGTCACTGCTCCTATTGAACAATGTGGATTTATAATACAGAACTTTATAGACATTTAACTCCCTCAGACTCTCTGACTGTATACACTTTATAAATGTTCAGTAAATGCTTATATGATGTGTAATATATGTGTATAATTTAATAAAGTTGATTAAAAAGTTTTTAAAAAAAGCATTCATGGTAGTATTTCTCTTAACAACAAACACTTGTTAATCATAATGGTTCTTTAAATAGTTTTTTAAATTAAGATTAGTCTGATAAAATATGAGTTACAGTGTTTGAATATATTATGCATATACGTTTTTCTTTATTAGTTTAAGCAGCAACACTTTATCCGTCATCAAACTCAACATTTAGTCTAATTTGTTTCAAATACTGAAATAACAACATAGAATAAAATATTAAACATAATAATAAAGTTGGTAACCTGCATAAACTGAGACAGGAGGTAATAATATGTTGATATTTTATTAATTGAAAATAAAAAGGAAACACTGCATTTATAATTGTCCTTTGGCTTTAAGTTATTATGGATTTAATTATAGTTTAAAAGTCTAAAATCAGGTTTGTTGAGAAGGTTTTTAGTTGACACAGATTTAATCCACAGCAGCCTCCTCGGTGTGATCTGCTTCTATTGTTCTATTGTTGTGTTCAAACTGTCGACTGATTGTCTGATTTATTCTCTTTAGTGTTGATCGTGGTTCTCGTCCTCCTTCACTGTACGACACCCAGGTCTTCCTCAGCTCCGACCCCGATAACTTTAATGGATGTGTTCACTCGTCGACTGTCTCAAGGACGTAAACTGACGATACAACTGATATAAAAACAGCATCAAGGACTTTAACAGGTATCAGAAAACAAGAGCACACAGCACTGATGTTAGTGTGAGAGTGGATTTAAAGTTTAATTATCACTTTTAAGAACTGGAATGAGTTACAGTTTATCTCCGACCTCTTATGTGACCCCGAGGTCCTCAAATGCTGCGTTCAGGTTCCCAAAACCAGAGTTATAATCAGAGGAGATCAGGAAGGAAAATTCACTTCATTAAAACAACACTTTTATAACAATATTACTTCCTGTGATCTTTCTATCTCACCTTTTATTCACTATGATTGTGTTGTTTTATTTTTATATTGTTACTGATGGTTCTTAATGTTTGATTCCTGATGTTTTACCATTAAAAGCACTTTGTAAACCTGATTTTAAAAGGTGTTATTTATATATAGTTGATCCTTATTTTAATGAATCACTTTTAAATGATCAAGTGTCTCATTAATGTTCATTTAGACGCAGAAAAGATCGCTGCCCGTCCGTTTCACTCATTGCTGTGAAAAGACTGAAATAAAAAGGAGCTTTTAAAATGATTTCCATTCAGCTTCAAATCAGTTAAACATACTTTGTATCGTCCAACAGTCGAGTATTAAACAAAAGACTAAAATACAATGAAACATTTCCAGGAATATGTAGATTATTTCCAGGATATTCGGGGACTGTGATAAAGACTAATGTAATATTGGGACAACAGCTGATAAACATCCTTCAGGTGATATTGATCACTGTGTGTTTATTAACTGTATATTTAGTGGTTTAATCTGTTGAATCAGTGTTACAGGAGCGACCTGCAGCACAGAGCAGTTCACACATATTCACATTATGTATTTTATTAGTATTTTCTGTTTCTGTCTGAACTTTAATGGCTGTGAATGATCTGTTCAGGCGGTTTCTTGGCGCATGCGCAGTGTGTAGGGTAACCACTCAGCCAATCCCGTGCGAGGAACAGCGCAGTGAGATTTGCATCATGAACATACAAAGAGAGCCGTCCGCCGGTACCGACTTCATCTGATCAAGGACATCCAATCCGGAATCAACATGCCTGAACCACCCAAAGCACCGAAGAAGGGCTCCAAGAAAGCCGTCTCCAAGGCAACCAAGAGCGGCAAGAAGAGGAGAAGGACAAGGAAGGAGAGCTACGCCATCTACGTGTACAAAGTCCTGAAGCAGGTCCACCCCGACACTGGGATCTCCTCCAAGGCCATGGGCATCATGAACTCCTTCGTGAGCGACATCTTCGAGCGTATCGCCGGTGAGGCCTCCCGTCTGGCTCACTACAACAAGCGCTCCACCATCACCTCCAGGGAGATCCAGACCGCCGTCCGCCTGCTGCTGCCCGGGGAGCTGGCCAAGCACGCCGTGTCCGAGGGCACCAAGGCTGTGACCAAATACACCAGCTCCAAGTAAACAGCTGTTTACTCAACAACAACAACAACGGTCCTTTTCAGGACCACCCACTGCTTCTACTGAGAGCTCTGATCCTCCTGTTACAATCACTGACATCAGAAACATTTAATATTTAAACAGCTCATCTGAACAATTTAAAATGATTTACTAAGTAAACCAAGGATTTCCTTAGTTGTCATTTAATAGGCACCTAGGTAATGCTACAATTTTAGATGATTAATATCCCAATACTTATGATCCTCACCTATACCATTGTGAGTGTATATATTGATTATTATAAATATATCAGTTTATCAGTATTTGTTCACATATTAAATGTATCTAGTTAAACCAACCTTCCTGTATATAAAACAATTAATGTAAACATAAACCACTATTACATTTGTGTATTGGACATTTTATACTTTGTACGTTAGTAACTACATCACTTATAGTCTGGAGTTCTGGATTATATTTAATGTTATAGGGTAATAATTATTCATGTAACTTATAAAGAACAGAAATAGGGAGCTGACTGGTTCCTGACCAACACGTCACTATAATACTAATGTAGAGCAGATAATAAAGTGTTTGTTTTTCTTCATCATTTTACCTGATATGTGTTTTATGTGTTGTAAGGTTTCTTCCTGTAGTCACTTTCTTCTGTTTTCTGAATAAATTGGATGGATTTGTATACGTTTGCTGTTTCTTTCTACAATTATAAACATATTTCTCGAGTTTTACTGTATATTTGATTTTGATTTTATTTAGAAACATCACTGGATGGCAGGTTGTGCTGATTTTAGGGGAATAAACTGAATTCAATGTTTTTACCACTTTCTATATTCACAAAGACAAACGTTTGAGAGATTAGTTTCCATATGAACACATTTCTTCTACATCTGAATGATCTGAAGAAATGTACTAAGAACTGAGGAGGAGATATTCAATTAATATATAAATACATACAAATATAACTTGTTTTTGAGGTGAACAGATGTCTGATTACATTTTTGGAGGGAAACTAAAGCACCGTTCATCAACAGATTAACATGGGGTTTGTGTTTAACCTTCAAAATAAAGGCACGATCAGAAGCAGTTAAACTATTTAGTTCATTATCTACATTAAATTAAATTCAGGCTATATGAGACAAAAAAGCTTCACTCTCATTCATTTTCATATCAAGAAAATACGTTTTTAGGTGATATAAGTATTGTTTAGTAGCCTATTGCATTTTAAGTAATATGATTACTTTTATTAAATCTTTTATTAAATACTATAATACTAATACTATAATATAATTTAATACTTTTATTAAATCCTATTAAATCTAATATATTTTAGACACATATCTGGTATATGTATATAGTGTATATTATATTTGGGAATGTGTGACTGATGTCTTTCTTTGTCTAACTCATCCACAATGAGTCTTTCTCTTATAAACATTCTGGCGGTTAAATTGAAGAATAGTCCAGTTTGAGCGGTCTTGTTTTATTGTGAAAAGGCCGAATGGCGCCAAACGGAAGCGTTCTAATGACAGGAAGCTAGAACGAGCTCGTTTCTGATTGGCCGATCAGAGTAACGCTCGCTCGCTGCTCGGTATAAAGTTGGGTTCCGCTCTCTGAGAAACATTCTCCTTTCGACTCTGACTCGAGAAATAACCTGAAAATGTCTGGACGTGGAAAGACCGGAGCCGGAAAGGCCAGAGCAAAGGCAAAGAGCCGTTCATCCCGTGCCGGACTCCAGTTCCCCGTCGGCCGTGTCCACAGGCTGCTGAGGAAGGGAAACTACGCTCAGCGTGTCGGTGCCGGAGCTCCGGTGTACCTGGCCGCCGTGCTGGAGTACCTCACCGCGGAGATCCTGGAGTTGGCCGGAAACGCCGCCCGTGACAACAAGAAGACCAGAATCATCCCCCGCCATCTGCAGCTGGCCGTCCGCAACGACGAGGAGCTGAACAAACTGCTCGGTGGAGTCACCATCGCCCAGGGAGGCGTCCTGCCCAACATCCAGGCCGTCCTGCTGCCCAAGAAGACCGAGAAGGTCGCCAAGAAGTAAATACCCGGATCCGACTTGAACACAACACAACGGCTCTTTTAAGAGCCACACACTCCTAACTAACGAGACAGTTCCTCTTGATTATCAGTGACTATTACTGAGAAGTTATCAATGATATTAATAACAGCCACTATATATATAAATACTTTATTTATCCTGAGTATCCCTTATGTGTGTTTCCAGCAGTAAACAATAAACCTACAATGAGAAACTCATAACACAGTGAACTGCAGATGGAGGTCTGCCACTGAACACACTGTCTGTAAATAAGGAACAAATTAACATTGTTTACAGAAACTGGTAGCTGGGAGAACTATTAACAGTGTATAACAACATAAGTGTCAGGAAGCTTTAAAGAAACAAAGTTTGAATATAGAATTTGCCAAAATGAACTTAGTTACTGAGTCTTTAAGTAGACTAGCATGTAACTAATAATAGCATCATGATTTATAGGAACAAAGATGGTGCAAAGAAATAAAGTACTTCTTAAATTATATGTAAATACATGAAGATATTTTTAAACTGCAGGTTCTAAAATAAAATGCAGGAACGGTTCAATAATACTTATGTTGGATTTGAGTATAGATAATTTTATCTGCAATTTATGCTGCTAAACTGCATATTTTTGCATATTGTGTATACCTGCATTTAACTGCAATCTTTGTTACATTTAGTTACTAGTTTTCTTTTTTTCTACTTATGTTACCTGTATGTGCTTGCATTTAGTTAATTGTTTTTGTTGGCCTTTATTTTATTATTTCTACTCCAACCCTGTATTACTTTCCCACTTTTGTATTGCAACTGTTTGAAACAGTAAGGATTCAATACTTTGCCATACAACTCAGTGCAAGTTGCTAGGGATTTGCTTCAGTGTGCTCAGGACATCAACATATATGGTATCCCACACAGGATCACACTTGATACACGCAGATCACACAAAAAAAAAAAAAAAAAAAAACCTGTTCACAACATACCTGGATGACAGTGATAGATGTCAAGTTAAAGTGATATGGTGCATAGGGATGCAGAGCGCAACCACAGACTTTAGTTCTATGTATGAGTAGTCACTCTCAATGAAGCTATTAAACAGAAATATACATGTATTGGTGGGTAAGTAATATAATGTTGAAACTAATGTAAAGGAACACATATAAAAGCTATTAGGTCAGTGAACCACCACTATGTAGTATACATTAATATAATACATTTGATACTATTGCTTTCCATATGGACATTAGTAGAGACAGTAGGAAGTTAAATATTAGAATTTATTAATGTACAACTCAGTAAATCTAACTAATAGGATATAAAAGCCTTATTGTGCATAAATAGAGAATATTGATTATTAATAAAACAAGCAGCTGTATGTACTGACGGAAACTTTGCTCTCTTATCGGATGTATGTGGCTCTTAAAAGAGCCGTTGTGTTGTTGGTTATCGGGTCTCAGGTCAGTTTAAGCCCTCTCTCCGCGGATACGGCGGGCCAGCTGGATGTCTTTGGGCATGATGGTCACCCTCTTGGCGTGGATGGCGCACAGGTTGGTGTCCTCGAACAGGCCCACCAGGTAAGCCTCGCTGGCCTCCTGCAGAGCCATGACGGCGGAGCTCTGGAAGCGCAGGTCGGTCTTGAAGTCCTGGGCGATCTCCCTCACCAGGCGCTGGAAGGGCAGCTTGCGGATCAGCAGCTCGGTGGACTTCTGGTAGCGGCGGATCTCCCTCAGAGCCACGGTACCGGGCCTGTAACGATGGGGCTTCTTCACTCCGCCGGTGGCGGGGGCGCTCTTACGGGCAGCCTTGGTCGCCAGCTGCTTCCTGGGAGCCTTTCCTCCGGTGGACTTACGGGCGGTCTGCTTGGTTCTGGCCATTGTTGATTATTAGTCTTCTCTGAGTTCACAGCGAAAGAATGAATTCTCACTGCGAACAGCGGCTTTATGAAGGAACTGCCGCAGCGAGGTCGGCGCTGATTGGTCCAGCCACAGTTGCGCGCGCGTTCTAGCTCATGGACTATTGGCAGAAAAAAATCAAACTAACCAATCAGCGACAGGCTGTTGAACAAGAGAGACACCAACGGTTGTCTGCTTGAACCGGTTTCATAGAGACTGTTTATATCCATTAATGTTAAACATCCTGAACCACACTCTGTGTGTAGATATATATAGTTATCTATTACATTATTACTCTGAACTATTTATTGAATTATTAATTATTAATTAATTATTGTGCTGATACAATTACTTCATTTTCAGACAGAAACATTGTACTTGTTTATTTTACTATATTTCTCTGACAGTTTGATACTTTGAGACTTTACAAACTAAATATAATAAATATTAAATCATCATTATACATTATAAACTATTCCGCAGTGTGAAGTGATATCTGAGTACTTTCACCAATAAATGATCAATTAGAGAAAGGGTGAAAATAATCATTATGAATTCATATAATTATATTATATATACATTAATGCACTTTTGGCACTGGTTGCACTTTAATGTTGTAAAGTTGTCTTGTAAAACTTCAATAAAGTTTATTTTAAAGTGGAAATAATCCACAATGGGCCCAAATAATTGAATGATTAAAATTTCATTAAGATTTTCATTATAAACAGATTTATTCATACATATACAAACATCATCAACATCACAATAATGATGCTTTTTATTGTAACAATAAAATAATTGAGGTCTGTAAAATAACATTCAGAGGAAGATATATTGACTGTAAGGAGCAGAAATATTAATCAGTTATATTTGCTTGAAAAAAACAACCTAAATAAAGTTTTAACTAGAAATCAATTTTATTTCTTCAGAGATCAATAAAACTGCCATTAACACATTTAATGACCTATTGGTGATGTTAGATGTCTTCAAACTGACACCAAACTGGGGTGTCCAGACATTTTAGGGCAGTGGCCCCCCGATCCAACTCCTCTAGATCCGCCCCTGAAAATAACTTTTCAGATAAATTATGTTAAAAAAGCTACAAAAGTAATAAACGTACAACTACTATAAACATAGAAATACATAAATAAAATGTTAAAGAATCTCAAAATTATATAAGTACAGCAAGTAAACAACAAACTGTAGTTTTATTTTATTTAATTCTGACCATTTAAAAATAATAATAATAATGTTATAAGTGTAGTAAATGTGTATTTTATGAAACGCTTGAGACATTAACACGAATAGAAAACATGAAAAAAGCACCGTAACAAAAATATATTCTATAATAGAAATGTATAAAACTAAATTCCTTAAACTAATTTGGGACGAGTGCAACAGACAAATAATTAAACTTAAATAAATTAACTTTGTGTTATTTGTAGAGTGACTGAAGATTCTTCTCATCAACATTATTGTGACACTGAATGACTGAAATATAAAACAGGACAATAATTATAACCCCATATTGAGCCGATAGCTGTAAATGTAACTGAATATCTAATATTTAATAAAGATGTACAATAACAACCTCCAGTTGTATAAAGTATATACAGTATAAGCAGTAGAGGATGGAGGAGCTGCTCTTTAGTAGAAGCTGTGGTGGCTCTTAAAAGAGCCGTTGGTGCACTGAGTGCAGGATTAAACCGCTTTACTTCTTGGTCTTCTTGGGAGCTGCTTTCTTTGCCGGAGCTTTCTTTGCCGGACTCTTCTTCGGAGCGGCCTTCTTCACCACCTTCTTGGCGGGAGCCTTCTTGGGACTCTTCTTCACTGGCGCCTTCTTGACAGCTTTCTTGGCCGGTGCCTTCTTCGGGGACTTTTTGGGCGCCACTTTCTTGGGTGTCGCTTTCTTGGCGGCGGTTTTCTTGGCTGCGGGCTTCTTGGCTTTAACGGGGGCCTTCTTCTTCACCACTTTCTTCACGGGTTTGGCGGCTTTGGTCTCCTTCTTGGCGAGCTTGAAGGATCCGGAGGCGCCGGTCCCGGAGGTCTGGGCCAGGGTGCCTTTGGTCACCAGCTTGGTGACGGCGGTGTTGATGCGCTTGTTGGCCTTGGCCACATCGACGCCTTTGCCGGCCAGGACCTTCTTCAGCCCCGCCAGTGACAGCCCCTTGCGCTCCTTGGACTCGGTCACGGCGCTGATGATCAGCTTCGGGAGGGTGGGTCCATCCTTCTTGGGCCGGGGAGCCGACTTCTTCTTCGGGGCCTTGGCCGGGGCTTTCGCCGGGGCGGCTGCTGGAGCTTCTTCTGCCATGTCTGTCAGTCTGTGCTGTGTCTGTGTGAAGGTGTCCGAGCTGAGAGCAGGAGGCGGGACTTATAAAGCACATGAGAACCGTGGAGAGTCAACCCGCGCCGCCGCTCCGCCGTCCTGCTCTCGTGTGGCGACACTTTGTGTTTTCTCCTCCACATTTTGGGGATAAAATTCAGCGAGAGAAACGTTTGAGATCACAACTGTTGTTGTTTCGGGGAGAAAACGCCCGTCCCTTCGCACTCGGCTCCGTGTTTGGCGCCGAGGACTCGCTGATTTACTTCCAGGAGGCTTCAAACCTCCGTAACACACAGTCACTTTGTGCAACTCGCAGTCTGTCTTCACGTTTCGTCTCCTAAAATGTATAAAATCTGTCGGTATGTGAAAGTCCCAGTGGTGTTACAGTGAGCAGAGACATGTGAGCGGACAATAAGAGTGAAATCGCGGCGGTGGACGGATTTATTTGCTCTGAATCAGAGAAGTTTTGTGCGGAGGTAAACACACGGGTGCCGCCGGTGACTCAGGCGGTTCTCGGACTCCTGTCACAGATGGATCCGCCGGGAGAAAAACTCCAGTTTCCACCAAATGTCCCATTGAACGTGAAGACACTGATAACACAGTTTAATATGTTAATAATCCTCTGATTCAACCTTTTAATTCACTTACATTTCTGTCTCCTGCTGTACCTGAATCACTTCAATCTGCTGCACATTAATATCACATTGTACACACTCTCATATATTCCTCAGTTCATTATTATTTAAATCATATTTACAACCTTTACTGACACTGAATGTGTTCACAGGACTTTATTAAACTGCTGTAACACATAATGAAGTAACTGCAGTGAACAGGAGATAAAATAATATGTAGGTTCAGTGTTAGTTTATAATGTTTGATCATTTTAAAACAAACAATATTGGCTTTGTTTGAATAAAAGTCTTTAAATTGAAGTTTAACAGTTGTTGTAGTTGAGTTATGATCAATAAAAGAGTCAAAGTTCAACTGATTAATATACTTTTTACACTAATGACTGCAGCCCAATAATTATATTAAACAATCTGAGGATTCAGTGATTTTATCTTATTTTAAATGTCAGTAAAACACAGCAGATGTTCATTGATCCGACACTACAGTGACTGATCAGGAGCCAGCGGTCGTCAATAATCAGATCAATACCTGCTGTACAATATCACATTTCTCTATTATACAGTAAAATACTGTACTTTATATTGCATTGTGGGTAATTTCATACAGCAGGAATATATTATTATTATTAAAACTATAAAGTATATTTAAGTATAATAATATTGGTAACTGAAGAATACATAATTATTAGTAATAATAATTACTATAATGTATCAATATTAATATAACTGATATATTTCAGTACAATATAATAAAATACAGTAAAATGTTTTTAAGTGATATTTTTCTGTTTTCTGTAAATAGTTTTATAGAATCAGAATCAGGTTTATCACCAAATAGTTTTCACTTATGAGGAATCTGATTTGGTACTTTGGTGCAAAAGAATCACAAACAAGATACAAACATATAAATAAACATAAAGATAGAGACAATAAAAAGGAGGAGCTTCTATAAACAAACATAAAGAGTGAGAGAATATTTATTGTGGCGTGAGGATTTGGTCCTGATAGACTTCCTGAAGTCCACAACCATCTCCACAGTCTTTAGAGCGTTGAGCTCCAGGTGGTTCTGGCTGCACCGGGTCACCAGATGATGGTCCATCTCCACCAGAGAGGAGCCCGATGAGGGAGCTGTCCTCCATGAGCTTCAGGATCCTGACGGACTGATGAGGTGCAGCTGTTGGTGTACAGGAAGAAGATGAGAGGAGGAAGAGCGCTGATGAAGGATCCGCTGCTGATGGTCCAGGAGTCAGAGACCATGTTCCTCCAGCTTCACCTGCTGTCAGACAGGAAGTCTGGGATCCACCTGCAGGCGGACTCAGGTACAGCGAGCTGGGAGAGCCGGTCCTGGAGCAGAGCTCGAGTCCACAAACAGGATCCTGGCAGAGACCTGTTGGTTCTGTAGGACCGCAGGAGGTCCGGGACCGGCTCTGTTAGCGGTTGTGAGGAGATAAATTACAGTTAATGTCATTTAATGTCAAATCTAAATACAGCAACGTTTATTTAACTGTTTATTTAAGTGTTAAAGTCGAATGTGTCTTTCTGCTTTTAACATGTTGATTGTTATTGTTTGTTTGTTTGTTTATTATTGTGATCAACAGATTGCAGCGCTTTATAAAACAAACAATAATATTTATAACTGAGTGTTTCTCATACAACAGATTTATGATCATTTGATGTCTTATTTAATATTTCAGTATATTGATGAATTTAATGTTTATTGTCCAAAGAGAGGAAAGACAAACATTCACACTGAACATTGACGTTACAGAAATATTGGAAACAATAATTTAATATAAAAAGATTAAACTCTATTTGTTGTTATTTTTTCTTTTTCAAACTATTTACTGTGAAAGTTTTTAAAATTTTGAAAAATAAAATATTTATTAGAGTTTGAATGTAAATATATTAAATATATTGAAACATGATGTAAATGTAAATATAACATTAATGTGACTTTGAACCGGAAATATTACAACAACTTTATTTAACTGTAATTTCTCTTTAACAATTTTATTAAATTCTGATTGAATCGTATTATTGATCAAACAGGTTCAAAATCCACATTAATATTAATATAACGTGAAATAACAAATGTGTCCCAGCTGACTTTAAACAACATAATGAAGACAAACAGAATGACAACACAAACTTGAACTAACTCATATTTTATTATCCTGTTATTGTAGATAATAATTAATGTTTCTGTTTCTGATAATGATTTTAACTTTAATCAGCTTCAGTTTGTCTGGAAACTTCCTGATTTTAATGTAAATAATTTCACTTTATAATCAAATATTCTCTCTCGAACACAAAATGAAGTTTTATTTTCTGTCCCAGATGTCCAATAAATAAATAATATAAATAAATAAATATTAATGGAAAGAAAATAAAATTTCTACCTGAGCAACTTAAACTGGATAAATTTTTTGTCACATCAATATATCATTATCAGTATATCAATATATCAATATATCAATATCAATATATCATTATCAGTATATCAATATATCAATATATCAATATCAATATATCATTATCAGTATATCAATATATCAATATAACATTATACCAATATATCAATATCAATCCCATCTGTATCAATAACTGTATAAAACGACTCTTTTTTATTATCTTGTATTTTTTATTTAATGTGTATTTTTCTGTTGTCAGTGAATTTATTTATTGATCCTGTGTGTGATCAATAAAGTGATCTGATCGTATCTCTCCTGACCCACAGCAGTAAAACTCCAGAGCAAACAGCGCCACCTGGTGGTCAAACAGTTTCCTGCACATATAATCTTAATGAGGCAGTTTATTAATTATAAAGAGAAACTTTGTGAATATTTTAACACTCTTTAAGATTTTACATGTTAAACAAACAAAAACAAAGAAAACAAAAGTACAATCATGAGCTCATATAAAGGAAATATATTGCACACAGATCAGTGATCAGTAAATTAAAAGGTCAGTAACAGTTTGCTGTTGATGATGATGAGTTATTTGTTCTTTGGAAGCATTTTACATTAAAGTCCATTTAAAACCGTCCAGAGTCCACCAGGAGCTGCCGTCTCATCCTCATTAAAATAAATAACTTCATTAGTTTGAACAAACACCATCCAGGCTCTGAACAGCTCCTCACCCTCGGACTGACACCCTCCCTCTGAAACTGGATGAACTTCCTCACAGACTCCAGTTGGAGACCGGACATCGTACTACTACGTCTCCAACGCCTGCATTATAAAGCACGCAGACGACAGCCCGCTCATCGGACTGATCAGTGGAGGCGAGGAGACGTACAGAAGAGAGATGATTATTGATCCTAAAACTTTCTCCTCCCATGAAACACTTTGGATTTATAACTCAGCACCGTATAAATACTGAACTCTGTATGAACTTTATAAACTAAAGCACTTTAGAAATGTTTGCTGGATGCACTTTACGGGTTTTAACTGAAGCACTTTCTTTGTCTATGTAATGTATAATATATATATATATACTGTAATAAAGTTAATTAAAAAGAAAACCACTAAGTTTTGACACTGTTACAGGAAAACAGTGGTTTTAAGGTCTGAAACCGTCTGCAGCTGAACACCTCCAAGACCAAGGAGATGGTGGTGGACTCTCCAACCCGTGTCCATCGAGGGGGTCGATGTGGAGGTGGTCAGGACCTATAAATATCTGAGGCTGCAGCTGGACAACAAGCTGGACTGGACAGCAGATACGGACGCTTTACACAGGAAAGGGCAGAGCCGGCTGTACTTCCTGAGAAGGCTGGGCTCCTTCAACATCTGCAAAAAACTGCTGCAGATGTTTTACCAGTCTGTGGTGGCCAGCTTGCTCTTTTATGCTGTGGTTTGCTGGGGAGGAAGCAGCAAGAGGAGAGACGCCGGTCGACTGGACAGACCGGTGAGGACAGCTGGCTCAGTGGTGGACACAGAGCTGGACTCTCTGGTGACAGTGGCAGAGAGAAGGACCCTGGACAAACTGCTGTCCCAGTCCAGCTCCACCCACAGACTCAAAAACTCTTTTGTCCCCCATCAGACTGTACAACAGCTCTCAGTAAAGGCAGGGAGGACAACAGATAGTTTCCTCCATCTGCACTGCCTCTGCTAAATGCTGTGACTTTCATTCATTGGTCGACAGCCTAATTTTAATTGCACATAGTTTTACATTTATCCCCACTTGCAGTTCTATTTGATATTAATTATAAAAGCTATATTATTTCTTCACAGACAGACAGTTCTGCGTGCCGATGAGGACGATGTTGACCACCGTGTTGACAAAGTAGAGAACGAGGCTGAGCGCGATGCAGAGGCCTTCGCACGTCTGTCGCAGGACGCAGCTCCCTGAAATAAACCCACGGTGAAGCACGTCCTTGACTCGCCACGCCACGTGACAGGAGAGGTGTCCCACCATCTTGAAACTCTCAAACACTCCTCCCAGCGTCTGCAGCCAGCCCTCCACAACCTGCAGCGCTCCGCAGGCGGCGCTGGAGACGGCCTCAGTGGCGGCGAGGAAGGAGAAAAGAGCAAAGTTCCAGCATTCGACCAGAGAGGAGCCGCTCAGGACGACCAGCGTGTTGTGGAGGGAAGCGCCCGCGCCGGACAGGAAGCGACACAGCCAGCTGAACGTCCTGACGACCAGGTCGAGCAGCAGGCAGCAGGCGTCCACACATCCTCCAACAGCAAGAGAGACAACGTTCACTTCGTCCATAGTCGGCTGCAGGCGAGAGAAGAAGAGTGACAGTGTGTTTGATGAGTAAAATATTTATTACAATTTATTAAAATTATTTAAAGGAAAAATCTACAAATCTTCACATTTGTAAAACTGGAACCATGAAATGTTTTTACAGAAAAAAAAGAAAGAAAGATTAATTTTCTGTCAACAAACTAATGGATTAAAGGACATTTTAAAAAGTTCCCTTTGTACAATCTAAAGTAGAATATTTCCCTCTGAGGTTCAGTGGAGTTCAGGTAGAAAGCAGTAGAGTATATCAGACTCTCTGCAGCGACCTCTGGAGGCAGGAGCTGCTTTCTACAGGACACAGCAGCTTCATAAAGATTCAACTGGGACTGAAATGTGCTTTTGTACACAGGTGTGAATGTTAACCTGCAGCTAAACTAACGACAGAGCAAATAAAGGACCCATAAAGCTCTTTGTGTTGGTGATTTTGGACTATTGCGGTTAAACATCAGACTAATACACACCCAGGATTTTATACATATTAAATCAATGGAACATAAACCCAGACACAAATATACTTTCTGTACTTATAAGCTGATATATTATGTTAGTTATTGACATCTGTTTTAACTTCAGTATAAAATAAATACATAAACACACACTAATGTTTAAAACGGTGCTCCAGTCAAATCTGTGTCTTATTTAAGCGAAAGGAGACAAATAATAAAGGACAAGCAACCCACTTCTTTAAGTTTAAAATCTAATTAAACGAGTATTATTGTGTATAATATACATGCCGAATTTCAGATAAGCTTTCGCTGATTCAGATGAAGTATTTATTTTATATTTCTGACATTTGTTTGTTCTTGTAAACTTTAAATTGTCAGAATTCTTAATGGAGTTTGGTATTGAAACGCAACTTTTAGATCCGCGCTAACTAAGAAACGCACAGTGAAGCTGAGGCCGCAGATTGGAGCTCATGTTCACGGTGAATGATTAAGCACATTAAAGTCTTTATATTTATATTTATATTTATATATTATCTTTATGTCTGAAGCCCTCAGTGTGTCCGCTAGCAGCCACATGCTAACGCTGCTAGCAGACCCCACCCATTAGCGTTAGCTCGGTAGAAATAAACATAAACAAACTTCAGAGGAACAATCTGTTTATGAGCGTTTGAAGTAAACAAGTCTCACCGTGACAACATGACGCAGAGAGATTTAATCACTGGCGCGTTTAAAGAAAACTAGTTTTAACATAAGTCACTAATATTGTCTTCTTCGGCTTATTATTATTCTGCTGCTGCTGCTTCTTCTTCGTTGTGACAATTGACGGTTCGTAAACCAACGGAAATGGATCACAGCGCCACCTGCTGTATCGGAGTGATTCAGCAGGTTTTAATTAAAACAATATTAAACATACAGGAGCTCGTGGACAATAAATATTTATAATACTGATTAATTACAGTTTATTTACTTTTATCGGATCACATCCCAGCTTTATTGTTTTTATCAATAATGTAAAAACATTTTGTTTGTGAAAGATTATTCTGCGTTATGTCCTTTAATTGCACATTGTGTTCTCTGTGTATATTTTCCTCTAATATATAATCAAATCTATTCATAATTATCTAAGAGAATATTTTATAGTTGTGGTAAAATATCTGTAATTATCTTTATTAGTCAGATTCAAGGTTTCCCCCCCAAAATTAAAATAATTGTCTAAAATAACTAATTTTATGTCCAAAAACTTTCCTACCAAGTTCAGTTTTTCTGTATTTCTATAACTGCTGAGGTTCTTCTGAACGACTGCGTCTCTGTGTGAGCTATAGCTTAATGATAAAAACCCTCATTAAATGCTGATATGAACTTATTGATCATATTTGCTGCAGTCTAATAATATGTGTTATTGATTGTTTTGCCAATAGATCGACCTTCTCATTTCCTTCCACTGCTACATGAGCAGGAACCCAAAGGAAACATTCAGTCCCCTATAATGTAACACATATTGTATTAATTCAAGCACTGGTTAGATTCACCACCTTTAATAAGAAAATAACACCTTTATAAAATGAGTGTGCAGACCTCCATAACAACGTGCTGAACGTCCACCGATAGTCTGAGACGATTAATCAGAAAATAATTATGTAATATTTTTTATGTAAAATATCAATAAAGTTTATTTTAAAATGTACGGGAATGCTTCTTCTGCACTATATATTCTCCTTTTATATCAACTTTATTACATTTTCACTCATTACACACAAGTATTTGATATTGAGCAAATAATAATAATGTATATAAATAAATGTTGCTGCAATAATCCAACCATAAATAATCCAGTTTGCATAAAGTATAATGAAAATAAATCTTTTGTTTTATATAATTATCTGTGAGGTAAAATTAGTTTTAGTGCCCAGTTGTTTGCTCTGAGATATTATATATAAATAATATATATACATCTAGTAACTTGCTTAGAATATGTTGAATTGCACATTTCATATAGTTAATATATATATTTAATTTATAGTTTTATATTTTCTATTATATTGTGATACTATTGTATGAACACTGTACTCTTTATATCAACTTTATTAAATTATACACATATATTACACCTTATATAAACATTTTAGTGAACATTTCTAAAGTGTATACAGTCAGAGAGTCTGAGGGAGTTTAATGTCTATAAAGTTATAGAATATAATAATAATGTATTATTATTATTATTATTATTATTATTATTATAATAATATGTATATATAATATGATGACTGAACAGATATACATGTATACACATATTTATAGTACATTGATATAATGTTGATATGCGTTATATATTCCGCCTGTGCAAGGTGTGCATACATACTGTAATATATATAACAGTCTTGGTTTGGGATGAGATGGACCGCAGAGTGAAAGCAAAAGGGCCAACAAGTGCTCAGCATCTCTGGGAACTCCTTCAAGACTGTTGGAAAACCATTTCAGGTGACTACCTCATGAAGCTCATCGAGAGAATGCCAAGAGTGCGCAAAGCAGTAATCAAAGCAAAGGGTGGCTATTATAAAGAATCTAAAATATAAAACATGTTTTGAGTTATTTTTGTTTACTACATAATTCCATATGTGTTCATTCATAGTTTTGATGCCTTCAGTGAGAATCTACAATGTAAATAGTCATGAAAATAAAGAAACAACATTAAATGAGAAGGTGTGTCATAACTTCTGACTGGTAGTGTATATTTATATATGTAAATAGAAATGTGAAAAAATATAAGCATATTGTATAAATATGATATATAAAATCAATATGGTTTATATATGTGATTGAAGGGTTAGGGTACGATACCAACGCTGAAGTCCATTAAATTCAAATCATTTCTAGTTAAATTGATCTCCAATAATTGTAATAATTCTTTGTCTGGATTTTTTTATATAAGTTTTTTATGGCTTGTTCTCTAATGTCAATGTCAGTGTATAAACTATCTACATCCGTAGTAAATAGCATAGAAATGTTCTGGTATTTGGAGACTTTTAACTTTATGAATAAAATCATATGTATCTTTAATATAGCTGGAGTGTTTGGTTGAGAGAGGATTCAAATAAAAATCGTGTGGTTTGCTTCACTTCTCTCCGAAAGGCATTATCAAAATAATTTAGGTCCAAATTAATTCGGGGAGTGACTTCAGTCCAATCTGACTTGGGGGTAAACGGTGCTGGTTCCGAATTGTCTTTATCTTGGAAATGAGCAGCCAATTTAATTCTTCTGTGTCATTGTTGGATGTCCCATCTGCTTGGTTGCTTGATATTTTTATTGCTCCCCTTTGTGGGCTACTGTTTTTTCTCTTTGGAGCTGTTTAATCGGGGTCTGTTTTGTATTTTGGGTCCTGTTTTTAAGGCCAAAGTGGTTTTACTGAGTATGGCCTCAGCATGTCTGAACGTGGCCCCCGGGGAAACTATCTATTTGGAGGTTCCTCCCCAGTCTGTGTGTAAATGTTGGTATTCAGTGATAAAATCTCCATATATTAACTTATAATATAGACCATTGTAATATTGTACCATGTCCTGTACATTGTATTATTTTCTATTAGGGAACAAATTGAGTATGTTTTAAAGAGTAATTTCATAAAAGCCTGTTATTAAAATGTAAGTGTATAAAGTGTTATTGGGATTTAGTTTAGTTCATCATACTGTTAGGACATAGTCTCGTCCATGTACAGTAAATGTGTGTTTATTCTGTTAAAGTACAGAGCAGCTAGGATAATTTAGATTTTACTGTGAAATAAGATGATTTTAACTGTGGTTTATCAGAATCAGAATAATACTTTAATAATCCCAGGGGGAAATTATTTTTGTTACAACACTCCTTATATACAAACAACATATTATACAAACAACATATATATATATATATATATATATATATATATATATATATATATATATATATACAAGATCAAATGTACAGTATTAATGTGCAAAAACTGCAAAAGAATGATTGTCTATGTTTGAGTCAGATTACAGAGGGGGGGTGTCTGACTCTCTGAGGGAGGCGTTGTAGAGATTGATGACCACAGGCAGGAATGATTTCCTGTGGCGCTCTGCGTATCTGGGTGAGAGGAGTCTTCTGCTGAAGGTGCTCCTCTGCTGGGCCAGTGTGTCGTAGAGAGGGTGTGAGACATTGTTCAAGATGGACTGAAGCCTGGACAGCATCCTCCTCTCTGCCACGGTCGTCAGGGTGTCCAGCTCCTCCCCCACGACATCAGCGGCCCTCCTGATCAGTTTGTTTAGTCTGTTGTTGTCTGTTTATGCAGTTAATAAAGATGTGATTGAGTCCTTTTGACAACAATACCGAAGTTACAGAGGCAAGTACGTTTACAGACAGAGTGCAGTAGCTACAAGACAGAGGTCTGTATGGTTTATTTGATTAATATAATAGTAACAATAAAGATATTACTGATAACAATGAAATGATTAATATTTACTTAATTTGATATGTTTTGGTGAAGACCAAACATGTTTCTTGCAGACAGTTTCCATTCGTATACATTGTTTTGATGGCACTGCTGAAGTATGAACTAAAACCAAATTTTTCTAGGGCATGGAATATGAATTTATTTTCGATTGTATCGAAAGCCCTGTAAAAATCTAAAAAAGAATGAAACTTTCATCAAGGCATAAATCTGAATAATCAATTAAATCAAGTACTAATCTGACACTGTTGGAAATATGTCTATTTCTCATGAAGCCGGATTGAGTTTCATCAATTATGTAGTCTAAAACAAGTTTAATTCTTTTAGCAAATATCAATGCAAATAATTTGTAATCATTATTAAGTAAAGAAATTGGGCGCCAGTTGTCAATGAGGAGTATGTCTTTCTTTGGTTTCGGTATTAGAGATATAAGGCCTTGGGTTAAGGTAGGAGGAAGGGATTCATTGCTTAAACATTCTGAGAAAAGACCTAAGAGGAAAGGTGCAAGCTGTTTGGGTTAGGGTTATAAATGCTTTATAAAATTCAGAAGTAATACCATCTGTGCCTGGAGATTTATGAAGCTTGAGGTGTTGTGGTGGTTTGTCACAAGATTCTTTTAAGTCAATATCAATTGACTTTGTTTCTATAAGAGACCCTAAAAATTGACACAAAAGTTCCCAATTACTACAAAAATTGTTTTCTAATAAAGATTTTTGCCGAAAGTGTTCAATTAATGATTGGACAGTTTTAGACACAGTGTCATGTTTTAGAATAGAGCTGTTCAGTTTCCAATATGAACTTCTATGGTGAATATTAGGATTTAGAGAGATTTGTATTGAAATTGCTTTGTGGTCTGTTAAAGGAGTAGTGAGGATATTGACATTGATAATATTACTATCACAACAGTTAGAAATCAAGCAAAAGTCTACGCGTGATGAGCTAGTATATGTTTTATTGCTCCAAGTATATGAACTCACACCAGGGTTGTTTTCTCTCCATATATCGATTAAGTTGAATTTATGCATAAATTGTATTAAATTGGAGGCCATATAATAATTGGAGGCCACCTATCTTGAAGACCATCCAGAGCAATATTAAAGTCCCCCCCCCCAATTGAATATTTAGAAAGCCAATGTAAGAAGCGGCAGTTACAGTTAAACGTTCCTGAATGTGAAGTGATGACGCTGTAACGGTCAGACTGTAACCCGGATGTTAACATTTTAATATTTATATACCAGCGGTGGAGGAAGTATTCAGATACCACACTGTAAAAGTACTCCATTACAAGTATTTATACTCTAACTAAAGTAAAAGTAAGTTATCTATGAATGAAAAAAAGATTTTACCCAGAGTTCACAGTAACAAA